TTGTATTTTTATTTATTTTACTATTTCCCAATTGCATTTTAATCTAGTTGAGGCTGTACTGTGGCCTTCAAGCACTGAGAGGTTTAGTGACTTGCCTAGAGTCACACAGCAAATATTTGTCAGAGATAGGACTGGAACTCAGATGTCCTGGCTTCAAGGCTAGCTCTACCAGACTGCCTTTGTGTTTCCTAGTAACAGCACAAATAAATACACTCAGCTATTTAAAGAAGATTACCATAAGATACCACATGAGGGTTGTCTACACTGGGGGAGAAGGCATCATAACAAATCAAAAGAGCAATAGTTTTACAATTTACAAAACTTCTTATGATTAATTCTGACCCTTAGTAGCATGACAAAACATATGGTCTATTCTCCTTAGTTCCTACCTGCCTTTTTTCTTGGCCTGGGCCCTGATAGTAACTCATTTCTAGTTCTTCCCCTGTGGATTTGGTTGGGCAAGGGAAGCCCTCTGGAATCTGGTCATCCAACCCTCACTATGTCGTGGGAACCTAGGACCTAGAAGAGACCTTTCTTCTACAGCTTCCTCTCACCATTACTCTTAGAATTTGTAACCCATTGCTTACCTGCAAAATGTGGGGGGTGGGAGTGGGGATTGAACTAGATTATAAGGTCCCTTACAGCCCTGTGACCTGTGGATATTTTGAAAGAGCAGAACCAGACAGAAGATTCAGTTTGTAGAATCTGTTTCAAGATACTTGGTGTAGCAGGTAGAGTCCTGGGCCTAAAGTCAGGAAGGCTTATCTTTCTGAGTTCAAATCTGGCCTCAGATACATACTCCTGTGTGACCCTGGGTGAATCACTTAACCCTGTCTGCCTTGGTTTCCTCTTCTGTAAAATAAGCTAGAGAAGGAAATGGCAAACCACTCCAGTATCTTTGCCAAGAAAATCCAAAATGGGGTCACAAAGAATTGGACACAACTCAAACAACTGAACAACAATAACACCAGTAAGAACAGAGTTGAGGCAAAGGGAAAAGTAACCCATTGGCCGTGGCCTGGGGAGGCCTATTCTGTTCTCAGCACTCCCAGAAAAAAAAAAAAAAAAAAGAGAGACCCCATCAAGTCTCAGTCTAGTGCCACCTCCTTCTTCCCTGGAGGCATCTCCATGCTCTGGCCCTGTCAGAAACTACTCTTCCCCTTGCCTCAGCTCGATTCTTGCCAAAGAATATTCCCCAAGCCGGATCTTCTGTCTGGTTCTTTTCTTTCGCAAACTTCAGAGAATTACAGCATTCTAAAGGGACCTTATCATCTGATTCAAAACCTTCATTTTCCAGAGAAGTGGAATCTCGTACCCAAAATAGCGAGTAGTGAGTCCAGGATCTGAATTCAGGCTTTCCGACACCAAGTTCTAAACTTGCCACTACACCATAAATGGCCTCTTCCATCTAAGCCTGTGGCCTTAGCCCTTTGGACTAGGCCCATGTCAGACTCCTCTAATTCTCATCATCCATTTCTTTACTATGTGTCTGCTCATTCCAAATTAACTTGTTTTCTGGCTCTCACCCTGTGCTCCTAAATAAATTCCTAATTCCCAAATATTGGCCTACCAAAGTTCATGGACGTACCTAGGGACCAAATGAGATTCTTCTCTTTTCCAGCTACCTTATGCTGCCTCAGAAGCACAAGGCTCTCATGTGGGCCTGTGGATCCTGAAGGCGACATGGTATTGTAATACAGGACTACATGACATTATCCAGAATCATCAGCATATTGTCTCTCCCTCACCTTCCCCAGCAATTTGACCAAAGTCATGTCACCACAGAGTATTATCAGTGCCAAAAAATTCATATCTCTCTGGTATAGAGATTTATTTTTTAATAAGTCAAATGACCTATTTAAAAGTGAGAGTTTAAGACTTTAAACTTTTAAACTTTGAAAAAGGCTTTTACAATGGAGAGGAAGTGGGGGAAGGTGAGAGGGAATGAGTGAATCTTATTCTCATTGGATTTGGCTTAAGGAGGGAATATCCTACACACTCAATTGGGTGTGGAAATCTATCTTACCCTACAGGAAAATAGGGGGGAAGGGGATAAGAGACTGGGGGGATGATAAAGGGGAGGGCAGATTGGGGGAAGAGGTAAGCAGAAACAAACAATTCTGAGGAGGGACAGGGTCAAAAGAGAGAATAGAATAAATGGGGAGCAGGATAGGATGAAGGGAAATATAGTTAGTTTTCCACAACATGACTACTATGGAAGTGTTTTGCATGACTACACATATATAATCTGTATGCATGTATACTCCCATGTATAACCATTTTGAAGTTGCTTGCTTTCTCAATGAAGGTGGGTGGGGAGGGAGGAAGGGAGAAAATTTGGAACCCAAAATTTTATAAGCAAACATTAAAAATTGTTTTCACATGCAACTGGGAAATAAGATATATAGGCGCTGGGCTATAGAAATCTATCCTGCCCTACAGGAAAATAGAAGGGGAAGGGGATAAGAGAAGGGGGTGGAATACAAAGGGAGGGCAGATTAGGGGAAGGAGTATTCAGAATGCATGCCATCTTGGGGTGGGGGGAGGGATGGGATGGAGAGAAAATTTGGAACTCAAAATCTTGTGGAAGTGAATGTTGAATAAATTAATAAAATTAAATTAACCAGTGGAAAAAATTAAAATATTAAAATTAAAAAATAATAAGAGAAAAAAGTTAAAGTTTAAGTGAATATTAGCACAGAGGGCACAATTTTCAAATGTGGAAGGTGTACAATTAAGTTTTTAGCCCTTGTTCAGGACACACAGATGCCTTCTGGCTTAGGTTTGGGGTTTGAGCCACTGTACATAGAAGTGAGGCAAGAAGACCCAAGTGTGTTCAGGAGCAGCAGCGGCCTGGATTGTTTCTAGTTGTTTATTTAAAACTTTTACTAGCCCTCAGCCTGGCTTTTTTTTTTTAAACCAAGACTAATTTTTCTCAGGGCCCTGTGGCCTGGTGACTGGGGCTGATTATATAATAATGAGAGCTCAAATTTATAAAAGTTTGCAAAGCACTTCAGATGCATTGTCATATTTGATCCTCAAAGCAGCCCTGTGAAGTAGATACTGCAGGTATGATTAGCCCTATTTTACAGATGAGAAAACTGAGGCTCAGAGAGAGGAAGTAGCTTGCCCAGGGTCACAGAAGCTACTAAGTATCAAAAGCAGGATTCAGATCCAGGCCTGCTGCCATCTCCATGTCCGCTGCTCTTCCTATTATACCAAACATAGCTCACACACTTTGAACTAAGAGGCAGCAGGGCCCTTTAGAAAGGAATCCAGAGTTTCTTAGGAGAGTCAGAAGAATGAAGGGATGGCATTCTGCAATGTGGGGTGCATGAGGTGCGGGTTCTACCTAGATTTGTTGGCCATGGTGGGACCAAACATGAGGATCTGACCTTGAGCCAGAAACCCCAGCTGAAATAAATGTCCAATTTAGTTCAACACACCATTATTAATCACCTACTATAGGTACAGGCCCTATGCTGGGTCTTGGGGGATTTAAGGTGAACGAATGAAAAAGAATTTATTGAACATTTACTATATGCCAAGCAATGAATTTTAAATAGTTTTAAAAAGAATTAGGCCCTGCCCTCAAGGATCTTACATTCTAATGGGGAAGATAACACACAAGGAAAGTGGTGATTAGGAGTGGCTTGTCCTGAGAAGGTGGCAGACAGATAGTGAGATGGCCTGGGTGAGGGACTGAATGGGACGTGAAGCTGTGGCCTGGTCTGGTGCCTAGGCCAGCTTTAGATGGTGGGGTAAGCAAACTGCTTTGTACACATTCAGTCACCAATCAGCTGAGTTGGGCATTAGGATAGGAGATTAATCAGACATGGTCCCTGCCCTCCCAGAGCTTATACTAGCGTCAGAAACTATTTCCTAACTATTAGAACTCTGCAAAAATGGAAATGCCTGCAAAGGGAGTGGGTTCCCTTTTTCTAGAGGTCTTCAAACAAAGGCCTGATTTTGTTGTAGAGAAGATTCTTGGTCAAGCGTGAGACTAGATGGCCTCAGAAGCCCCTTCCAGCCGTCAGATTCTGTGATAAACACATAGATTTAAGCAATTGTATGTTAGAATGACACCTGTTTAGAAGAATTCAAAAAGACATGAGAGATTGGACGTAGTGAACAGATTGATGGAGCACAAAGAGCTCTGGACCTTGAACTCAGAAGACCTGAGTTCCAATTCAAGCCCAGCCACTAATAATTGGCCGAGTGACTTTGGGCAAATCATTTCATGTCTCTGAGTCTGTTTCTTCATGTGTCAAATGGGATGTTAATGCTAGCTGTAATTACCTCGCAAGACTGTGAAGAAAAGGCTCTGTAAACTGTAAAGTACTACATAGAAATGTGACGTTATTAAGAATTATTATTAAAAGAGGGAAATCCCGTCAAATGTTGATTGCACCCTATTTGCATTATCCTTCACTGTGAATTTATAGTTGTTATTTTAGAATTAATAACAATACTCTTAATGTGTTGTTTTTTAAGGAACTGGTCCACATTGGGCAATATTTTTCTCTTCTCTCTGCTGCCTTTGCTCTTGGCTGGGGCCCAGGCAACAGAGCAACATTCATCCTTGGCTTCTAAGCCTAGGCCTCACACATGGCCCCAAGAGAGGGAAAACAGTGCCTTGCCCAAACAGCTCAGCCATGTCTTAACGAGGCCTCTGAGCGAGGCCTGGGGAGCACAGCCCCCTTTCCATCACCAGGGCTTTCTAACTAAAACTCCTGTGGAATCTTACCCTCTCATCTGTGTGGTCTCAAATCTTATTTTTTTCCCAGCCAAAAAAACATACCCACATAGTTGCTTCATCCAGCAATCCCCACAACAGAGCTCTTGGGTGGGTTGGGTAGGGAGAATGTGAAGTTTGCTGCCTCAGTGGTCCCCAAAACCAGCATTTGCCCTGGATGTGACTTGTCTCTGCACCAGGAGGGTCCCCCCTCCAATCTCTGAATCATCTCATGGCTAACCCTTTTGTTTCTGCTGGTTTCTAGCAGCCTTGACAAATGAGGATCAATGGCAGGGGTGAGGTTGGAGCTAAAGTAACTGTCCTGCCTCTCCCTGTCAGACTTCAATCACTACTCAGAGCAAAGAGATGGACCAACGCTAGAAGATTTGAGGGTATGGTGAGGGCGAGGGACAGTAAAGGTACGGAAAAGAGAATTGGGCAGCACGGGTCGAGTCTGTTTCCACCTCTGCCTGTATCTGTCACTTCTCTCATTTCCTTTTGGTTGTCTGCTTTGAAGTGGGCCAGACTCCCAGCCTTCCCGGGCTGTCTCCTCTTTTGTCTTCTTTCTGAGAACACCCAGCACCAGGAATGAGATCCTGTTGTCTGTAGGGATAACTAGATTGTCTCTCTGCTGCCCATTTATATTCTTCTCTGGGCCAGCTTCTCCCACTCTGTGGACCAGGCCTCGGGGGCAGACATAGCCCAGTCTGCCCTTTGGTAAGGAAGAAATACGTTCCTGAAGCAAAGTCTAAAGCTAAGCAGATGGAGGGAGTGGTGATCACCCAGCCTCCTCCTGACTAGTTTCCCTTTCACATGTTCTCAACCTCCTTGCATACACCCTACCTCCTGCAAACCCAAGGCTATTTGACCATTAGCATATGTTTCTGTTTTTAATTCAGGCACCAGTGTTAATAATCATAATATTCTCATAATTTTCCAAGTGTGATGGCTAGGCCTGGGTTCTAGTCTTGTCTCTGCCTTTAACTAGGTTGAATTACTGATCTGGGCACTTCACCGGGACAATGGGGCTAGTAATCCCTGGCCTACATACCTCACGGGGCTGTTATGAGGACCAAATGAGAAAATGAAATGAGAAAGCATGACCCAGAAAGCCCTGTCCACATATGAGTGTCAGTTAACTAACATGGACCAGGCACTGTGCTGGATGTTGGGATACAAGGAAAGGCCAGAACAGTCTCTGCCTTCCAGGATCTCACATATACATACAAGCTATAGATACTTAGGTCACCTTCCAAGATGACATAGCTAGTTGTGTGGCCTCTCTGAGCCTCAGCATGTTGGTAAATGTTTAGAATGATAGAATACATGTCTCCTGATTCCAAATTTAGTGGCATTTTTTTATATGCTACACTGCGTCATGTCACATCAGGGACTCCATCCTTATTCCTGTGGGATTCTACAGCATCTGCCTGCCTTCAAGGCTGATTCTAGAGGGTAAGGCCACTGGCCTTTTAAAGTCAGCGACAAGGCTCAGCTTGGAGATAAGTGCCATCTGCAGAATGTGGAATTGCTATTGTGGGCAACAAGAGGGAAGTCTCCCTGCCCACCCTGAGCATATGATGACTCTTCTCTCTTCCTCCTCCACACCTCCTCCATCCCCCACCCCCCATCACTTCCTCTGCACTGCTGAGAGGCTGTGTTCAGGGAAGAGGGAAGGAAGTGTCTCGATCCTGGGTCTCAGACACCCGAACGAGAGTCAGGAAGTGAGGCCTTTGAAATGGGATTGGCTGTCTGAGGGTGATGGGAAAGGAAGGCCATTAGCCTGATCCGAGTTCAGACTGAATCCTGCCCAGCCTCACCCAGGTGCTCACGGGCAATCGACACTGTAACTGCTTAGTTTCACACTGAAGGGAGCGATTGGGTTGGTGACATGCTGGCCAAAACTTTGGAGTCTGCTTGTGTTCTTTAAAGAAACTTTTGCTTTTTCTCCCCTCCCCACAGAGAAAGCTGCCCGTGGATACTAAATGCTGCTCTAGATTATGAGCTCAAGCAAGAGTGCACGATATAATCGTTTCTCTGGTGGCCCAGCAAACCTCCCTCCCTCGGACAGCACAAACGGGGTAAGGGAGAGAGCAGGCACTCCTCTGAGTTGCTCCCAAAGCCCAGCTCAGGGGCTAGCCTAGAACCCCATCCCATTCTGTCTTGCCTGTTGATGGCTCAGAGAGAAACATCTTTCTAAGAAGGAGGGAGGACCAACATACTTTCGGTGTTGTCACTGGAGAGCCAACTTCTTTGTCCCTGTACGCTGTGCCAGACCTTACCACCACGGCCTGTCGTAGGTGAGGGGCTTCTCAGGGAACAAACAGCCAGTTCTGGAGCCAAGATCCTGCTGGTACAGATGACTGACTAGATGTGGGAGGAAGAGCCAGGGAGGGAGAGAGCTGCCTGGGCAGCATTTGGTATTTACGGAGGGCTTTACAGACACTTTGGTGAGAATAGCTGCTGGCCTTTCTGGCTGCTCCTGTGGTTCCCTGCTGGTGGCCACAGGTATAGAGAGTGCAGAAAACAGTGCTTCCCAAACTAAACCAACCACAGAACACTTTACGGGCTTGAGATAAATTTATAGAACCTGTCAATCCTCCTGGGAGATCTGGGGTTATGCAATACTGTTGAGATGAATAGGGATCTGGGAAATTTTGAAACAAAATAGAGGGGATTAAATGTACTTCCCTACCAAAAAAACTACCATGCACAAATTTTCAGATGCATTTGCAAATTTGATAATCTGTTAGAGCATAAAATGGCACTAGCCTAAAATTTTCATGCAATCCCCCAGTTGATGTTGGTGGAACAAACAACCTAACCAGGGTTTTATGAAACAATGTATAGGAGATGCTGATACAGAGGACAACTACTTGTTTTTACATTCTCTGGCCAGCCTTTCCCCTGTCCTGATTTCTGGGCACCAGTAGCCAGACCTCTATCTCTGGACCCACTGAACCCATCATCATCTGCCCTGGCTCCTGCCCGCCAGAATGGGGTCCCCGCCCAAGACCTATTGACTGTCCCATTGTCTTGGGGACCCTTATCTCAGTAGAATTTGACAGAACCGTATGCCTACCAGGTTAGTCCTGGCTGAGGCCAATGGCCTGGGGAACATAATTGTGTTCAGAAAACACAACTGTGGTTTTGGGAATGACAAGAACTCCTTGCTTGTCCGTAGCCTATGGCAGCCTACCTGTTCTACAGGACTGTGTGGAGAGAAAGAAGGGTTTGGACACAGTGATAAGGACCCTGAGTAGCAGGAGGACTCTGGGCATAGGGTGTTACTTTGGGCCCACAGGCACTTTGGGGCTTCCCTAGGACAGAGGTGCAGAGCCCAAGGTCCCACACGAGATCTCCCAGCGTGACTCCATTTCTTACAGAGGTTCCTTCCATTGAAGGGTCTCTGAGGCTGCTGCTCTGTGCCCTTTGAGGCTTATGGCTGATTCTGGCATCTTCCCTGTGTTGTAAAATAGGAAGTGAACTGATTATACACAAGGCTGGGGAGAGGGGGGAGGCCAGTGTTTTTCTAAGGTTCTGCTGATTAGGTAATTGATTGTTGCCTTATGTGTTTTACAGATTAATCCTATCCTAAGTATACCTTACTTCTCTACTCATCTTAGTGGACAGAGAAATGTGTGTTAAGTGTTGGGCACACAGTGCCTAGCCTTGTAAGAAGTACGTAGAAGGCGCATAGTGGGTAGAGTGCTGGGCTGGAGTCATGAAGACCTTAGTTCGAATCAGGCCTCAGACACTCCCTAGCTTGGTGACCCTGGTCAAATCACTTAACCTCTGCCTGCCTCAATTTCCTCATCTGTAAAATGGGGATAATAATAGCTCCCACCTCCCAGGGTTGTTGTGAGGATCAAATGAGATAATATGTGTAAAATGCTTGGCAAACCTTACAGTGCCATATAAATGTTTACTATTACTATTATTAGAGCCCTTTTTAAAAGGCCCCAGGTTAGTCTTTAGGAATGTGATTATGTCATCTCTGTTCTCTCTTTAGACCAGAATGGAGACTACCTTTGGTCCTGCATTTTCAGCTGTTACCACCATTACTAAAGGTGAGCTCCTGCCAGGATCCAGGTGCTAGTCTGAACCTGCCACACAGACTTTGGTCCTTTTTGGGGGGAAAACTTGGGTGGGAGAGATCAGGGAGGAGGAATTCCAGTTGTGAATTCACCTGGAGAAAACAGTCAGGTGCCAAAGCCAAGAGGAAGGAGGTGCTTAGGATCCTGAGATCATCACTGTAGAAAAGCTGGAAAAAGCCTTGGAGGCTATCTAATCCACCCTCCTTATTTTGGGGGGAGGAAACTGAGTCCTAGAGAGATGCAGTGACTTGCCCAAGGTGACACTGAAAAGCCAAAGTAAGCTCATGGGCTCCCCTCTTGTCCACAGTATGGCCTTGCCCCTAGGGTCCTGGTGGACACCTCCTCCCTTCTGTTGCTGCGTAGGTGGGTAGATCAAGTGGGTTAGCCTGCTTCCCTCCCTTTGAGCTTGGTATCCCGAGATCTGAAAGTGAATAAGCATTTACTTACTTTAAATAACAATAATAGCATTAAGTTCTCCAGCTGGAGGCAAAGCTCACTAGAGTTAGAGGAGACAGATCTGGCAGAGTTTCAGGAAAACTTAGGAGCTCTGGGTTTTCAGCACGAGCCTTTTTATGCTCCGTCACTTAATCGTCCTTCAGATCAGGTCGTTCCATGATGGCAGCAGCCTGGGCTCACACAAAGTGCTTCAAGGAGACTGGTCTCCCTTCTGTGGTTTCTGAAGTGTTGTGTATGCAGCCCTTAAAGAAAGGAGAGCAGGCCATAAGAGTGGGCTCCTTTGGTGGACCTCTCTCCCTGCCCCATCCCAACTACACACACACTCCCTCCAGCTTTCCTTCTCTGCAAATTTGGGTAATGCCTGAAATATACTATCTTAAGGAGGGAAATGTGCTGAACCAACAATCATGCTAGTATCTAGCTCCCTGGGCTGATTCCCCCTTCTTCCTCAGCTGGAGCCTCCTTAAGGCCCAAGGAATCTTGGCACTGGCCTGAGAGGCCCATGGGGTTCCTGGAGGCAAATATTTTTCCTTTGGCCCACCTGCAGAGTAAGCATCCATGCTCTAATAGGACTGTGGAAATACCCAGCCAAAACCAACCCTCATTTATTTACTTGGCACTGTGCAAAAAATGGCTACAAACCATACTTTCCACTCTAAGGCACTAGCTCTGGAACACTTCAGATGAAAGCACAACTGCTCTTCAGCCTGGTGTAATGGAGAGATCCTCAGTAGAGGGTCAGGCAGCCCAGTCTGGGCTCTGTCTCTAGTAAACTCTGGTCCCGACGGTTCATCCATTCTCTGGTCTAGCTACAGTGTTCTTAATTTGAGTGCTTTCCAGTTACACAGAATCTCAGGAGTTAGAGATCTTCAGACCGGCTAGTCCACCTGATCACAAATCTCCACAACATGTGGCCATCTTGCCTTTGCTCAAAGACCTTCAGTCAGGGGTCACCTGCTGCCTCCTGAAGCAGCCCACTCCATTTTTGGACATTTTGCATATCAACATCATTGTTAGTTGGTTTTTCCTTCTATCCGGCCTAAAGTGGTCCTACTGTAATTTCCACCTGTTGCTCCTGGTTCTGCCTCTGGGGCCAAAATTAACAAGTCTGGCAGCTCTCTCACATAGCAGCTCTTCAAACCCTGACTGTGATTTCCATCCCTCTCCACTCCTGCCCCACTGCTTCCCCTCACCCACCCGTCTTCTCTTCTGCAGATTGAACGTCTCCTTTTCTTTCAGCTGATCCTTATATGGCACAATCTGAAGGTCCTTCACCATCCTGGTTGCCTTTCCTGGATGTTTTCCAGCTTATCAGTGTTCTTCCTAAAGTACAGCCACCCAGAACTAAACACAGGACTCCAGCTGTAAGCTGGCCAGGACTTTTACCCCATCGTGCTGGGTACTGTGCCTTCCTTAATACTACAAGGAGCCCCATCACTACTTTGGCTATTGTCAGGTGGTACCAGTTAGGTTGTTGTATGTAAAATTGTCTCACCTGGGAAGCTCTAAGTTGGTCCGTAGTTGGTCTGAACTGGGTCTGAGCTAGGCTAGGGCAGGTTCTCATGTATTTGGCTTTGGGACACAGTCAGAAGCTGTTCAGATGCCCCCCTCCAGGTTTGATTCTTCCTATCACTCTTCCTGTCCCCAAACTGGACTATGGGGAGAATAGAGATTATGGTTAGAGCATAGGTTAGACCAGAGCTTCTTAAACTGTGGGTTTGGCAACAGTAAAAGGTATCTGAATGCACAATGACCAAAAATTAATTAAAAATCAAACATATACTGAATCCAAGGTGTTTCTGGCCCACGTTTGCATCATGCAACTTCACTGCCACCTTGGTTCTGAACACAAAGCATGCCCACTTTGCACTTCGAATGCCCTCAGGCCACACAACAGCAATGAATGCTGCTGAACTCAAAAGGGGTCTCAAGTGGAAAAAGTTTAAGAAGCTCTGGGTTAGCAAAGGTAATGGAGATTCAGCTGCATCTCATGCCTAACAGGGTTCCTGCCTCAATGGCTCCATTTTCTCCTAAAGGTGAAGACTTTCCCTTCCCCTGCCCCAGATTCTTTCTAGGAATAATTTGAATTTCCCTTCATGCTCTGTCAGTTGGTTTTCTCTACCAATTCAAAGGGCATGATTTCTTTATTTGCCCTGCTCTTCCTGAGGGTACTTACTTAAGTTGACAAGGATGTTTCTGGTTTTGCTGAAGCTATGGTGAAAATGGTATGTGGTACATATTGCTCATTTCATCTCCAAAAGCACACGCAGAGCTGTGGATCCGAGCCACGTTGTGTTTCTTCCCTCTCATTTGTCTCAGTCTCCTCCCCCATCCCTCTTCTCCCCATGATCAGCCACCTTTTTGAAACTCAGAAGTTAGACATAAAACACTCTGGGCCTTTTCCATCTGCTAAAACCACTTTTTGTTTCAGTAGCTGATGGGACCAGCACGTACAAACAGCACCGTAGGACTCCCTCTTCCTCCAGCACACTCACCTATTCCCAGAGGGACGAAGAGGACGGCATGGTATGTCTACTGTCTCAAGTTGTCTTTCCAGCAAACTAGTTATTACAGTCAGATAGTAAGCCCAGGAGGCATGACCAGAGTTTGCGGTTGGGGTTGGCAGGGCCTATCCTGACTTCTCAAGGGATGTGAAGGGTTCTTTCCTGCAAGAACGCCATTTCGAGAAAGGTAGGAAGTTGAGGCCATGTAAGGATGAGGCAACCTAGCTGGTGCGTGTGTACATCTGAGCTCAGAGCTCAGTAAGGTAAACTCATCTGTGGCTCTTTTTTTTGCTGTTCAAAGCTGTGTCCTGAACCAGACGGAAGCCTATAGAGCCTTCCACTCTTCTCTGTGGGCTGGGCTGTGAGACACATGGAGAGTGGGTGGGGTGTGGTGCCAGATGGGGAAGGCCTTTTGCCTTAGCCGGTGCCGGAAGATTTGAAGGAAGAACTTCTGACATCTTTGAAAGATCTCAGCCTTGAGGAAGGTGGTGATTGGCAGAGGGGCAGGACACTGTCTGGTTAGTGCTCCAGTCTTGGCACTCTTGGGTGGTCAAGTTCAAGGGCAAGAGTTTGAGATGCAGAGGCAAGAGCAGCAGCCCTCAAATCAGAGGCCTCGGCTCAACTCCTGCCGTTCTTACTTGGTACATGTGTGACTGTGGGCAGAGCATTCACGTTCCCGGAGCCGGGGTTTCCTCATCAGTAGAACAGGGGCTGCACTGGATGGCTTCTGAGACCCTTTCAAGCTCTGCATCTTTGATCTCCCATGTATTCTCAGCACCTCGAGGCGCAGGCAGATGAAACCGTGAAGGGGTTGATACGTCTAGGCGCAATATATCTAGGAAGCTTTTGTAAAGCCCTCGTGGGTACTTTTGATAACTTCTCATCAGTCAGCCTTGGGTTGTTTTTTGGTTTTGTTTTTTATTTTCCATTCCTGTTTGTGTTTTTCATTCTCTTCACGTAAGTACAAAATCATCAGGCTGAGGGCTTTGGTCACCTCTAAGTGCTCTGAACCGTCTGGGAGGGTCCTGATGCTGAAGCTGAGCAAGATGTGGGGTTCTCAGCTACCCTTTTTAAGCACAGTGGAGCTAGAACAAATGCCTCAAACAGCCAAATGATCAAAGATTTAAAGAGATGGAAGAGGGAGAGAGCAATGTTGATGCAACACAACAAAATTGGGAAATCTGGCACATGCCTTGTTCCATTCCTGCCCCTCCCCAGCCCCCCAGAATGTAAGCTCGTTGAGGGATGGGGGATGGTTTGGGTTTGCCCTTTATGTCCACTACCTATCATTGATGCCTTGCACAGAATAGTGCTTAATATTTGTTAAAGTGGTTTTTTGTAAAGGAAGAAAAATCACAAGAACAGGATAAGGGGACAACCCAGAAGCCTGATGATAGGCGTCCCCAGTATCTAGGGAATGTACCCGAGGGGATTTACCCTTACTGGGCCTGAGAGGCCAGTGACACTAACCTTCTGTCCTTGGGGCAAGGGCCCCAAGCTAAAGGCAAAGTTTACCTTTTAAACCCAGGCTCTCTCTTTCTGAATCCTAAGTTATTCTGTTTGGGGATATTTGTAGCTATTGCTGTTTTTGTTTTGTGATGTTGTGTTTCTGTTTTTGCCTTTTTGCATCCTCAGCACTTAGCATAGTAGAGTGCCTGGCTCATAGAAGGCACTTAATGCTTGTTGACTGACTGACTGACCATTGTGATGGCACCTTTTCTCCTCAAACAGAAGTGTTTTGTATTTTGCTTTTTTTTTTTCTAGGCAGTGGAGTTAAGTGACTTGCCCAGGGTCACAGAGCTAGTAAGTGTCAAGTGTCTGGGGCTGGATTTGAACTCAGGTCCTCCTGACTCCAGGGCCGGTGCTCTATCCACTGCACCACCTAGCTGCCCCTATTTTGCATCTATCCAAGGCTACTAAGCTGTGTCATTAGTATAGATCATTTGTCAAGGGCCCCAACAGCAGCTTGTCCTCCTGAACCTTCATTCCACTGCCTCCTCCACATGGCCACCCTGGCTTCCCGAGCTGTGCTCTACTGCCAGCCTTCTTCACTCAGGAGGCTCCAGGCACCCAGTTTGTCCACTAATAAGCTTTAGTAAACACCTGCTCCGTGCTAAGCACTGTGCTAGGCACCTGAGATATATCAGCAGAAGTGAAACAGTCCCTGCCCTCAAGGTGCTTCCATTCCATGGGCAGACAACTCTATTAGTAAGTATATACAGAATGTTTCCCCAGGCAGGAGCCTAATCCTAGGAGCCTCCTTGGACCTGCGTTTCAGCCACACTCTCCCCACCCCAGTTTCCCATGGCTCAGGCACACAAGCAGTGGTGGCAGAGCTGTGGGCCAACTGGCTTGGCCCTTCTCTCCATTTTTTGGAGGTGGTACTTGGCCTCTTGCTGCGGTTTGGATATGTTCTCTGTGTCTCTCCTGGTTTTCCATTGCCCGTTAGGATGTTTTGACTCATTTCCTTAAACTTTCCACTCTCATTCCTCTTATGGTATTTCCATGTAAAGATAATAAAGGAAAAGCTATTTGAAGCATTTCTGAGTGGTGGGAGGGCATTGGCGGGATCTGGCAGCCCTGTTGAGCACACAGGGTACAGAGTGAACGTGGCTGCCCTCCATGTGAGAACCAGGCTGGGCGCACCCTTAAAACTGGCTCTGCTCTGGTCATGTACTGTTGGAGTAGTGGAGGGCTCACATTTCAGCCCAGACCCAGTTCCCTCTCCTGCCCTCTCACTGGTTATTTTGATTTTTTTTAACGATTAGAGTGCAGGGTAGCAAAGAGCTCAGCAAGACCAAGCAGTGTTCACTGACGCTGACCCAGGGCGAGGATAGATTTGACTAGATGGAGAGGCAGAGGTAATCGTGAGTTCAGCTTCTCTCCTTTCTGGGCTCTGAGCTCCTGCTAGGGGATTGCCCCTCTTCCAGTAAGGGAGAAAGGGACGTGGCTGGGCCAGGCTTGTATCAGGTCCCCAGACAGTCATTTCTGGTCTTGGTGGGAAAGCTGACGGAATTGGAATTGGAATACCTATACCTCTCTGTCAGGAAAAATAACTACAACATTCACGCAAGGGGAGGATGTGTTTATGGTTATCCTGAGAAAGGTGAGCCACAATTTCCATCTCCTCCATGGATAAATGAGAAAAGATGGGTTTGTACTGTAGCTGGAGGGATTTCCGTTAAGCACAGGAAAGCTTGGGGTTTTAATTTAGTATTTTGGTTTCTTGTTTGTTTTTTTTTTTCTCATACCCTCAGCCTGAGCAATTAGAGCATGTGAACAAAGGAGGTTCAGGCGTCTCTGTTTCTGGAGACGCTGATGAGCCATGTAGGCTCCTGTGGGATGGGTTAGCTCCAGTCAGGTCTGAAGAGGGGGTGGCCACTAGAGGTCCCTTCAGCCTTGGAAGGAATTCTGTCTTTTATGGGATCCTTAGAAACTCCTTGACCTTAACAATCCAAAGCAGCCTCAAGAGTGTTCCAGAAAAAGCAGAGAAGTGTTTGTGGCTTGAGCAGGCCCCCTCCCTTTCCCCACTGGAGGCATGCATGCATGGCTCTTCTCAGGCTGCAGGGAAGGTATCACTTTGCTTTCCAGAAAGAACAACTTTGTATTTGTAGATTTAGTCCTTTGCAATTTTAGCTATTCTGTTCCTTCCCTAAATGCCTGCCCACTAGGTCAAATTGTCTGATTTTCATGGCCTGGCCTAACCTTCTGGAGGATATAGAGAGCTCAGGTTTAGGTTTGCAGCAAACCCCTTTTCAGTGAGCTCTGAGTTCCATGCTAGCACCTCCCTCCCTACCTAATCGCTGGCTAGATGGTGGTGAACAGCGAGAGCCCAATTGCCTCATGCCATGCCTACCCCAGCATTCCCCACCCCACCCCCCAGCCCCAAAGACTGGTGGGAGCAGGATTCTGTATTGGCTTTTGCGCTGCCCCACTACATACAGGAAGCAGGAAATGGCCCAAGAGTGTCCTCATTGAATTGAATAGGAGGAAGTTACTCCATTGACACAAAGAAAGTTGGCAGATGTTAGGGAGTAAAACAACACGTTCTTGGGCTGAGGCTTCTGGGCCAGTCAGCCCGAGGAAACTGCAGGGAAGGCCCCTGGTGCTTTCTCTTTCTGTGGGGAGTGATTCTGTTTCAAGGGACTCTGCTTGTTCAGTGCTTCCACAAGTAGGCCCTAGTGGGATGGGTGGAGCGGAGCCTGGTGCATTGACATGAGTGTGTGACCGGTGCTCATGCTTGAGAGACTTCATCCTGCTTCGTCCTCACATCCCCTACTTTATGGGGATCACCAGAGGCTGGAATGCAGCAAGGCTCAGAAGCCAAACCTGAGCTAAGCCGGGGCTTGCTGTTGCCTGACTTGAGGGAGCCTCACCACGGCTCCAGAGCCTTGGAGGATACGGGGGTGTCTGCCGAGCTGCCCGGTAAGCCAGAGCACTGAATCTGATGGGCAGTGGCCTTAGAAGTCACGGGTGACATTTCCTGAGGTAGGGCCTGAAGCTCACTCTTGTCTTTCTGTCTCTTTTCCATTTGCAGCCCCCGATCAACACACCTCGTCGCTCTGATTCGGCCATATCTGTCCGCTCCTTGCATTCTGAATCCAGCATGTCCTTACGGTCCACGTTCTCCCTGCATGAAGAGGAAGAAGAGCCAGTATGTATTTGGGTGGTGTGAGGGGTCAGGAGAAGCGTGTGCAGCAGTGTGGAGACCCCAGGGTTTGAGCATTCTTTCAGTTGGCCATAGAATTTAGAGCTGGAAGGGGCCTTGGAGGTCATTTAGGTCAACCTCTCCATTTTACAGATGAGGAGAGTGAAGCCTAGAGAAGTGACTTGCTCAAGGTCACACAGGTATCAGTAGCAAAGCTAAGATCAGAAGCCCGGTTCTCTGACTCCACATTTCTTATTCCTTCTGCCATAGCACACTGGGCCCCTCAAGGAGGACCCCTGATCAGTGGATGAAGCAAGGGCCTCAGCCACAAGGCATTTTCTCTGAAAGGCACTTAACTGAGAATGAATGCTGCCCTGTCTGCATGATAGTAAGAATGTATGCTGCACCTTCCCTGTGCAGCTTGGTGAAATGTTGCACCGACCTTTGAAGAAATATCCCAGGCAACCTCAGGCATGAATTAATATATTAAACAAGGAATCAATAGCATTGTTCTCTCTGCATTCCCATCTCTGTGGCAGACAGCACTGCACAGACCTGCATGCACCTTGGTTCTCTTCATGATTTTCCTGGACTTTGGTGTTTTTCCATCTTAGTCTGTTTCATAGTGCCCTGGTTGGACGCAGGCAGTCTGTGATTTGGGGTAACTTGGCTCACGTCCCTGAATTCACGAGGTTCCCAGAATTCAAGGGGATAGGGGCAGCTAAGTGGCCCAGTGGATAGAGCACTGGCCCTGGAGGGAATCAGGAGGACCTGAGTTCAAATTTGACCTCGGACTAAACACTTGACACTCACTAGCTGTGTGACCCTGGGCAAGTCACTTAACCCCATTGCCTAGCCAAAAAAAAAAAAAAGAATTCAAGGTGGTTTCAGACTTGGTCTGGCCGCTATTTCCCTATAGGTGGCAGAGTCCTGTCCCTGAGCCTGCTCGAGGCAGGTGCCCTTTCTTCTGCTTGGAGCCTGTGTCAGACAGCCACAGATTTAGAGCCAAAAGGCCCTCTTCACCCATCTGTGCCTCTGCAGCCACATTTGCAAGACCTCGGAATTCTTTTTGCAGCATCTAGGCTGACATTTTCTCACGTGGAGAAGAAGGGCTTGCAGAACCATCCGCGAGCTGTGACTGCTCTAACGACTCTGGCGCTGGTCTCCTGTTTGCTGAGGAGTGAAGGGAGCCGGTACCTTAGCCATTTCTCCAGTGTCCTTAGTTCAGCAGATTTTAGTTTAATTCGACACATGCTTTTTAACTTTTTTTTTTTGTTCTTAATTTTTATTGTCATCGTTTGTTTTCACATCACCTTAAATTCCAAATATGTCGCTCTCTTCTCTCCCCAGTAAGCCATCCCTTGTAATAAAAAGGGAAAAAGTTTTCTTAAAGCGTTCAGCAAAAATAAGCAAGACACCAATCCAGACCAACAGTAGATGCAATATATTGTATGTCACCTCTGCAAAGAAGGAACAGAGGTGCCCTTTCTTAGCTCTTCTCCAAGACCAGGCTCGCTCACTATAATCACACAGCATTCGGTTTGGGCATTTTGGCCTTCGTTGTTGTCCCTGTCTGTATTGTTTTCCTTGTTCTGTTGACTTCATTCTGCAAGCCTTCCCATGCTTCTCTCAATTTTCCATATTCTTCATTTCCAACAGCATGACAGTATTCCGTCACAGTCACATACCACAGTTAGCTTAGCTGGTCCCCGATTGGCAGGCATCTACTTTCCAGCAGACATTTATTAAAACTCCCACTAGGTGCGTGGCACTTTACCGAGCTTTGGGATACACAGGTAGAAACCACCCAGAGCCTTGCTTTCAAAGGCCTTACAGGCCACTCAAAGAGGAAGCCAGGCACACAAATAACTGACTCACAGGAGAATGCACTTCTGTGCAGAGGAGAAAGCCAAACAAAATCAGAATGCTTCTTGGAACTGGAAGAGGAAAGAGGCCTGGAAGGGTTGTGGGAGAGAAAGGGAAGGTTTCATGAAGGGCTGGCCCTTCATCTTAAAGGAGATGGGGGAAGGAAGGAGCTGTGTCTGAGTTCAGGACAATGTCTAGCTAGAAATTGCCTTTGAGTGATGCTTAATCCTTGAGGAAGTTGTGTGGGCAGAGGGCCCACCATCTTGGGGTAAGGCAGCTGACTCCATCCCCAGAGCAAGACGCTCTTCCTGGACTTGTGGACTGCCTCTCTTCATGTGGCACACAGCACATTGTGGGTGCTTTGGGGGTCTTTCCAGAGGGAGGGAGATGGCCCCACCGTGACTCTGCAGCTGGGTCATGGTTGTTACTGGACTGGCAGTGGCAAAGGGGCTGCCTGTGCTAAGATTTGGAAACTCCTTGAGGGCAGGAATTGTTTCCTTTTTATGTATGCATCCACGTTGCTGAGTACTGTGCCTAACACATAGTGAATACTTAATAAATGTTTATTGGATTGGATTTGAATACCAAGGCTGCATTTGGCACAAGGCATCGGTGGTCCTTCCCTAAACGCCTGTCCACTCAGTCAGATCCCTTGTCCTTCCCTCCTATGGCCTCTGAGGGAGATGGGGATTCGAAAGGATTCCAGTAGCCCTTTCTAAATGGATTTAGTCAGTTAGCCCTGGCTTGGGGTGCATGTACTAAGCAGCGCACCGTGGCCCACTAACTTCAAAACCTATCAACAGGTGGAGTGTCTCCTTCAGTCAGCTGTAGTAGCCTAGTCAGCAAGTACCCTTTTTTCCCCAGCCCAGGCCTCCGCAGCTTTGGTGCCCAGTAGGCCGGTCCCTTTGGGGCCCTCCTTGAGCCCCTCATTCTTGGTCCTCCTCAGGGGGAGGCAGGGAGGCAGGCTTGGCTTCTCAGTGGACCTTTGTGTTGCCCCCTCTGCGTCTCTGCCTGGGGGCGGCTGGCCTGACCCGGATGCTGAGGACAGCCTTTGGAGGAGGTTTGCTTCACCCTGGGACAGCGGCGGCTTTTGGCTTTCCTTCCAGTGCCCTCAGCCTCCCTCTTCCTCTTGGTTCCAGGAGCCTCTGGTGTTTGCGGAGCAGCCGTCAGTGAAGCTGTGCTGTCAGCTCTGCTGCAGTGTGTTCAAGGACCCAGTGATCACGACCTGTGGGGTAAGGAGCCTTCCCCCTCTGCCCCAGAGCACCAGGGCTGTGGGTCCATGCTATGCTTTCTCTTTCTACTCAGGGTTTGCAGCCCCCAAATCCTCAGTGGTGTAGTGGATGTGGGTTCAAATCCCCCCTCAGACACTTACCAGTTGTGTGCCTCTGGGCAAGTCATGGAACTGAGATTTGCTACCGAATTTGGAAAACCTGCCACCTGCAAAGGACCGCCTTAGTTAGCTGGATTGAGGGCTCCAGAACCTGCCTGCCTTGGGCTGGGGGGAGGAGGGGTGGAGAGAGGGGGTGGAGGAAGGGGGAGCAGGGAGAATAGGGCACAGTCATTGGATTTGGAGCTAGGAGTGACCTTTGAAGTCGCTTTGGCCCATCTTCTCTATTTCCAGCTGAGGAACTGAGGCCTAGGGAAGGGACGTGACCTGCTCAGGGTTACACGGCAGGTTAGTGGTCAGAGCCAGGATGAAATCTCAGGTCTCCTGACGGCTGCTATGTCTGAAATGAAGCATCACTGTAATAATGACACGCGGCCTTCCGGGCCCCAGACCAGAATTACCATCCAACGCTGACCCCATGGGGAGTGGTTCTGGGGACAGGTTCCCCTCTGTTGTTTCCCCCACAACAGATTCCGGGGGTTTCTACAAGTCACACCTAAATGTCCTCTTGTAGTCACCTTGTCCTGGTAGGAAAGGCAAAAGAAAAACTGTTCTTCAGCAAGGGAGTCAGGCCAGGCCACTGAGCTGAGACAGACAGTGACCAGCCAGGCCGTGGCCTTCAGACTGCCCGAGCGCCTCTTGTTCCACGTCCTTAGTGATTCAGGGGCTCAGTGGGCAGAGGCAGATCCCATGTGCCCCTTGAGGAGGAGCCGTGGGCTCAGGGCTAGAGATCTCAGAGATAGCTCCCTAATCCAACTCCTGTAGTTTACAGGAAAGGAGACCAAAAGAAGTTAAGTAACTTGCCCAGAGCCACAGAGATAGCCAGTAGTCGCACCCCTGGGATGCCGGCTCAGGTTTTCTAACTCCAAATCCAGTGTGCTTTTCCCATCATGGGGGTTTGGGCTCTGGTTCCCAGAGCATGCGTCTGTGCCTGTGCCAGGTGAGCTAACATGTCTCCTGGCCCGGGCTCCCTCAGGGAGCGGGCCCCTGGCACAGGGCTGGGGGGTGGGGGCCGGGCCCGGACAGCTTTTGATAACTCTCTGAATTGAGAGTCCCGTCGTCAGCCCACTCTCTCATTGTCTCCACAGCACACGTTCTGTAGAAGATGTGCCTTAAAGTCTGGTAGGTACTCAGTCCTCTGCAAGCCTGCCTTGTATCTCTGCCAGCTTGTTAACTTTCCTCTGTACAAAAATGCAGCCAACTTCACAGCCTGGAGAAGGGCTTTTTAAGGGCGTCCCAGGGTGCCGCCTGGCATTATTGACGGATGCCGCTGCTCCAGCCTAATTGTCACCATTAGCAGCGAAGTGCTTTTGGGATTTGCTGCGATTAAAATTCCAAAGAGCAGATCGGAGATGCCTGAGAGCTTCCAAATGGGGGTGGGGGACAGAGAGGAACATGCTCTATGACCTCTCCAGCCCTTCTGTTCACCTTCAACGGGGGAAGTGGGGCAGGGCAGGAGCCATCACACGTCTTGCCACGTCCTTGGGGATGCTTGTGCCCTCTTTCAGACAATCACTCCAGGGGACGTGGCTAAAATAGCTAGATGTTTCAATAAAAGAATAAAAAATGGCCAAGTACTTCCATTAGCCCTAAGCTCTGATTCCATTGGGTTGAAGGTGACTAGAACTGTGAGCCTGAGCCCTCACCTGAAATTCCCCTCTAGATGGTGTTCTGTGTTAGGAGTGACCAGTTATGATTTGGGTCAGGTGGAGGAGCGTCAGCCCAACCCCGGGTCAGGGAGTGCTCAGTAACTTTGACCTAGATGCCAGATATCCTGCCAGCTCCATCTCCTTGGTTACCGCCTGCCTGACAGTCCCAGTTCCCATCCTTGAAGTCTGCCCATCATCTCTCTCTCCTACCTGCATGGTTAGCACCCGCTCGTACCTTCTGTCCTCAGAGATAGTGTCTCTTTGCAACCTGGCCTAACAGTTGGCCCCATGCCTCTCCCCTTATCTGAGTTTGAATGAGGCTTAAGACAGGCTTTTGGAAAATTGGAGATCTTGGGGTAGGGGTTATAGGTTCCTAATTCTTTCGTCTTATGACATCATTCCCTTGGACTCCCAGATCAGAAAACCTGTCCTCCAGGGCAAGCCGGCCCCTCAGAAAGGGCAGAGGAGAGAGTTTCCTCTCAGGGTCTTTGTGTTGCCCCTGCTAGGG